CCATATGAAAGTATCTCTGCCACGCAGACTGAAACTCAACTTTACCTGTTTTCTGGATGCCAAAAACTCCCCCCACCAGCCGGTACATAGTCTTTAGAAGTGCATAGGACATGGGGTAGGGCCTGGCGGCCATGTCAGCCGGGCGCATCTATAGTGAGCTCCAGCTCTTAAGCTGCAAAATCGCCACAATTCTGCAGTTTATAGCCCCCACTGAAAACTCTACTTACCCTTAGATACTCCTGAACTAAGTGGCGACATACCTGAGCGTGTCCCATATCTTTTGGTGTCCACGACGATGGAGTCTGAGAGCTGGCTTGGCAGCATGGTGCGTCTGGAGGGGTGAAGAAGTTATCTCCGCTCCTGACCACGAGGCTAATTGGAGCCTTATCCCTCATCCCCCTCTGGAACGGTGGGGGTAATCCATGGAGGCTTCCTCGTTAAAGAACCACTATAGGCACCCAGTTCCCTTCAGTTCAATGAAGTGGTCTGAGTGCCAGGTCCATCTAGTGTTAATCCTGCAGCTGTAAACATAGCAGTTTCAGAGAAATGTTTACAATAGGGTTAATCCAGCCTCTAGTGGCTGTCTCACTTACAGCCGCTAGAGGCGCATCTCACTGTGAAAATCACAATGAGAAGACGCTGACGTCCATAGGAAAACATTGAGAAATGCTTTCCTATGGACTGTTTGAATGCGCACGTGGCTCTTGCCACGCATGCGCATTCAAAGCTGACGTCGGGAGAGGGAGGAGAGTTCCCCAGGGCCGAGGGAGCCCAGTGCTGGAGAAATGTAAGTGTGTAACCCCTTCAACCTGGCAGGAGGGGGGCCATGAGGGTGGGGGGGGGGACCTAAAGACCCTATAGTGCCAGGAAAACGAGTTTGCTTTCCTTGCACTATAGTGGTCCTTTAAGCTGAGAGCATGTGGCACCACAGCAAGCACTACACCACACACAAGATGGCAGACGTCGAGTGCCCCCATGATCCCTGCAGAGTAGCATTAGCTGTTCCACAACACCTACATGGACCGTGTGGAACCTTCTTGAGCAGCATCTCTCTACCAGCATAAAGGGGAACCACTTCTTGTCCGAAAGGAGGTATCCTGGGGGTTTCACTAATCAATATCACTTATTGTTCCTAACCTATTCCATCTTGTTAATTACTCTCAGTGCATGTGTACTACTTATTTACTCACCTCCTATTTTCCAGCACTGGGTTAATTTTATCTTGTTGAACCTATATTGTATGATCTGTTCTGGTTGTACCTACTCAGCACATAAAAAAAAAAGAATTATAAAAAAAAAAAGAAGTGCATAGGATATGCCCTTGACACTGCTTAGTCATAGAAATTATTTGTAGAAATTACATGCTTTTATACTGCCAAAGAATGCCTCCATTATAGTCCCCTGTTGTTATAATTTACAATTGTTATATATAAAGTCCCCAGAATGTATTGGATTGTGGTGTAATTTGTTATACCTGAAGAAATTGAGTATTATGAAATAAAAGGGTTAATACAATCTCTTTTTTTATATATATAAAATTGTGTATATTCCAGAGACATGAACAAAATATCACATGAGATCCATAGGGAGGGAGGATCTCAAGTCCTGGTATTTAGAAAGTGAACTGCTTGGTTCAAACTTATATATTCAGTCCAGTAGGGAAAAGCAGTTACAGATTAGCAGTATAAAGTAACCATTTATGAGAGACTCATTCCGGCATTATTGTGCATTGTCAAATGAACACACATAAGGTTACATATTATTAACTGCTAATTAAATTGAGGGATAATGTTTAGATCAAAAAATTACCATCCTCCCTGTCCATGATTGTAACCAAAAGATAAAATAGACAGACATGTACCAATACGAAATTCGATGTTAAAAAGAGCATTGATATAACTATATAATTGGGTGTGCTTAAAATGGTATCAACACTCAGGGGCAGAGAAAAAAGGAATATCCACTAAACCAGTGGTAGTCAACCTTTTTCTTCCTACCGCCCACTAATGCATCTTTCTTGATGGAAAAATGTCCTTACCGCCCACCAGTTTTCGCGCAAGTGCGGAATATTTTTTAGAAAGGAGGGTGTTTTTAAAAAAAATAAATGTACATACATTTATCTTTTTATTTCTACTTAATGCATGTTTATAATGTTTTTAACTTTATAAAGTTTAATGAGAAAACAATAAAGTAAATTGAAATTACCTTTACTAGTGATTAATGAGATCCTTGCGGTTGATGCTGCGAGACTAAATATTTGATATCTGGTTCGATATTCATAAGGAACAAATGAATGTCTCCTCTTTCGGTGATATTCAGACGACTTCTCTGTTTGCGTATAATATGATTTCTCATCTGTGCGTCAGCTCCCTTCCTCTCCCTCCTCAATTCCCCTCCCCACCTTTTTTTTTTTCCTTTTTTCTATTTTTTAACCTTCCTTAAAGCAATGCCCAGTAGGAAGGCTGAGTTTACTATTACTTACTATAGTCCACGATAACAGACACGCACACATAAACACATATGGACACACACACAAGACACACATATACACATGCAGACACACAAGACACACATATACACATACAAAGACACATACATACAAACAGACAGGCACACAAACATACATACATACATAAAGACACACAGACAGGCACACATACACATACACACATACAGACACACACACACAAGACACATACATACATACAAACAAACAGACAGGCACACATACATACAGACACACACACACAGACATGCACACATACATACAGACACACACATACAAAGACACACACATAAGACATACATGCAAAGACACACACACACATACAGACACACACAAGACACACATACATACAAAGACACATACATAAGACACACATACATACAAAGACACATACACACAAAACACATACATACAAAGACAAGACACACATACATACACACATATATACAGACAGACACACACACACAAGACATACATACAAAGACACACACATACATACAAAGACACATACATTAGACACACATACGTACAAAGACACATACACACACATACAGACACATACATACAGACAGACACACACAAGACATACATACAAAGACACACATACATACAAAGACACATACACACAAACAAACACACACAAAATATTTTAGTCACCCTCCTGTTTCCTACCTTTTAGGTGCAGGAGGGTGACATTCCCTGGGGTCCAGTGGTGGCTCAGGTGGATGGGACAAGGTTGACGACCCATGCACTAAACTATCAGTTTGACTAAGAAGTGTACATATAGAAGAGTATAGTAATTAGATGAGGCATATGTGATATGAAGCTTAGAGCAAATGATTTTACAAAAGTACTTGGAAAAGTAATTGTCACAATGGCTCAAACCGTGTGAGAAAACATTTAGAAGTATTCAATTAAAAGTTCATTCTATATATAAGAAAGTATGAGCCCAGAGCATGATAATCAGTCCAATTCTTATCACTTCCAATTTACTATAAAGTAGGAGGATGGACAAAGGATAGTGTAGTGAAGAGAAGGCTAGATTTAAGAAAGCTTGTAGTAGTAATACTGTATAGCATCACAACTGCAATATATAAATATAGATTTTTTTATTTTTTTTTACTACTTCTTCCTTTTTTGCCTTTGTTGGTCTGTTCCCTAAAAATGAATCATATTTTTTTTCCCATCAATAATTGTTTTTGTTTTTGCACCATATATGGAATTCCAAATCATAAAACGGTTTAGTTATTGTCTGTTTGGTTTGTTTCATGATTCATCAGTAGCCGACTCCTTCCCTTTTGTTCGGTTGTCCGTACCTCTTTGTTAATCTCGAATGGATGGTGCGTGGTTCACCCCTCTTATACCTCCCCAAACACCAACCAGTTGTTCCAGTGAGTGGTGGACATTTTGTCTTCCAAATACGCGGTACATGGTCTTCGGGAGATAGGAACTACCGACTGGGGGTGCATTCGTTCCCAAAAAGCCAGGGGGAGCGTTCACAGAAACCTCCAAAAGGAGACTGGCAGCTGTCCTCAATTCTCTGTAACTGTTTTGGGCCATCACCTCGTGGCCGTTCAGTCTGAAATACCCGAATGGCGATTCCGTTCTACTGAACGGATCTGAGCTCTATTTGGATATGTTGTGCGCTCAGATTTGGGCTATTCGGGGATATAAATCTTGTCCGGTTCCTGTAAAATATGAATATGTTTTTGGGGTGTTTTATGTATGTTTCCGGTATTTTCCTGTAACTGAGAGAAAATTGAGTTGTTCAGTTTGACTCAATTATCTCTCAGACAATGGGTCGCCTGGGAGGGGCTTGCGTATATTTTGTATGGAGACCCCATGCTGGGGGTCTATGCATAAAAAGGCTACATTTGGGCTGAATATACGAGTTGTACTCCCCGAACTGTGTGTCGTCCAGTTACTGGGGTTGGATAGAGCTATTAACATTTCAGCGCAGTGATCTGTTCCTGTCTCCACTGTCCATTTAGCGTTTTAGAGTTCTGGTTTTTGACAAATCACTGATTGCCCAATATTTGGAAGATTTTGAATTCCTTTGAAACTGAACACACATATGATATTTAAAATCTGCACACATTATGTAACATGATGCATTATAAGGCTGGCATGATTTTTTTTCCATTTCTTTTTCTTTGTGTTCCCAGTACAGCCCTGCCCTGAACTGGATTGTGATGTAAAACGCTATGTTTTAATACGTTTTTAAGATAAAACAGAATGCAGCATAAAACATTTGAGATATTGTGGTTTTTAGTGTTTTATTCTATGGTGTAATTCCTAGAAAAGTCAAAGTTCCCTGCTAAAATGATATTGCAATAACAATTTACAGCTACAGTGCTGTGTTGCCTAAGCACTATAGTATCAAATGTGTCTTAATACAATCTGTAACAGGAGCAATTCATATGTCCCAGTGTTGGGCTAACCTGGAACCTTTCTCAAAACTGGGACTTACGCCAGCTGCCGCCTGACCGCAAACATGAATGTCATGAATGGGAGCAGAGAGCGCAATGCCTTTGAAACACAGCAGGCCGCTTGGGTCCTAAAAGCCCCAGTGGAAAGTCTACCATCAGGGATCACTCTGATGACACCAGTGGTGGACGAAATTCAAGTACCAGAAAGTAAAGCCCACATCAAAGCCCCATTAATAGAGATAAAAACCATGTTTGATGCAGACCTCTCAACTGTGAGAGAGGAGGCCCACACACTGTAGGGCCTTATACAGCTGGGGGAAGAAGAATCAAAGACGTTCATATGCTGTTATGAGAACTTGGCAGAGGAGGTTTGCGGATGAGACAGAACCAGCAGTGGTTTGAATTCAAACTACTGCTTATGGAAGATGCCCAGTGAAGGCGGAATATCAGGATCCGAGGTGTGCCGGAGTTGGTGCCCTTACAAGAGATAGGAGATCCTGCATCTGCTTTGAAGGCCATGGACCTCTTTATTTCCTCCTGCGAAGGTAAAATTGATTGTGACAGATTCACATTTAAGAGTAGTCAAGTCTCCCAAGGCTCCATCGACTGTTCACATGAACTTACTGGTATCATTCTGCGCCAAAGCAGATAGAGACACGATTATGATGGCGGCATGAAATTTCCCACACTACCAGTTCGAGTTGCATACACTCTCATTCATTGGGAACTTTCCTCGCTTTACTGTTAGCTGGAGACAGTCACTATGGCCTCTTACCAATCAATTGACAAGGCCATTGTCAGGTTTTCCTTACTCTGTGTCACGGCCCCACAGTTCGTGGTTGCACCTGATCGGTGAGACCACACAGACAGGTAAAAGAAATTACCTGTGCAGCAGCGAGTCGGGAGCCAACCCACTGAGACGTCCTTCCCCTCCACACGCGGGATCCAAGATGGCGCTGACCGCGAAGTCACAGCCATTTGTAGCCCCGCCTCTAAAAAAAAATCACATAACTGTGTGACGTCACGTTTTCTTGTTCTTGTATTTGATATTCCTGGTATTTGACTTTGGCTATTCCTGAATGTGGCGAAACCAACCTTGCCACGAAGCATTGGAGAAGCCTGGTTGATCACCTGTTGCCCTTGGACTATGGCCCCATGTTAAAAAGCCTTCTTTTCCCCTGCAGAAAAGGCTTGTTCGTGCCTTTCTGCTCGGCGTTCGGGAGATTCAATCTACCGAACAAACAACCGAATGACTGGACCGCCTGTATTGGGAGTGTGTCGGCAATTTACCTCCCAGAAGCTGCGGTTAACCGCAGCTTAGTTGACGAATGCTGGGTGGACTTTGTTTCGTTTGACAAAAACATGGTGGCGGCCATTTTAAAGTCCCGAACGGCCAGCGGTGTTCAGCGCCCAAACTATGGAACTGGAAACGGACACTTATTTGCGCGAACACCGCTGAGCCGTCAGCCTCCTTGCGTCTGCATTCGGTCATTTAACCGGATGCCTGTTCATTCGGTAATTTAACCGTATGAACAGCATTACCCCAGATAGCCATGCCATGGAGCCTATTCGTGTAACAAAAGACTATGGGAAAGACTTTGGCTCCATGGCGATTGAACTGTATCTATGTGATCTGAGTGCCATCCGGTAATAATGTGCGCTCAGATCTAAGCTATCTGGAGATGGGTAGAATGTATATGTTTTGTGCAACAGTTGTAACTTTATACATGTTTCCTGTGTATTCCTGGTTCTTGACTTCTGGCCTTGTTCCTGACTCCGCTGCTCTCCGTTCTCCTGATTCCGGCTTATCTGCCCACCCGCTTTGGTGCCTGACCCCTGCTTGCCTCCTGGACTTTGCTTTTGGTTTATTTAAATTTTTGCAATTTTTTTAATAAAGGTGTTTTGCATCTATGTTCTGTCTCTGTCTGGTCCCTGGTCCTTAGCAGCCATACAGTATGATTATCAGCCATCAACTGAGTGTGCACCATAATGGAAGACAGCTTCACCTCACCAAAGCCTTTGATTATGGTTGCTTTTGTTTCCCCCCGGGACTTTCTCCACCTCCCACACTGCACTAAAGCAGCAGTTCACCCCAACACCAATATCGGACATTGATAATATTGCACCAATTTTACTCTCCGTGATCTGGAGATGCAGATTTAAGTTATAAGGGAGAATCCTGAAGCAATCTCTGGAGACAGTACCTTTTAGTGACTTCTGTAACTGAAGATATCTCCAGAAAGATCCAGCCAAATGTAGGACAGCAGCAGAACAGCAATGGCAATCCTTTCTCTTCCTTCTGCTGACAGGATGCAAAAGCTCATTCACACTACTGCATAAAGTTCCAGAATCTGCAGGGAGTTGAACATAAAATAACAGTCTTCTAACTCTCCTAGCAGAGCAGTAGACAGTCTCCAACTTCTTGTAGTAGCCGTGCACTAGCCCTCCCCTGTTTTTACATCACTGTCCCAGCAGTAATAGATAATTGAAACAGGTAGGAACACACATTCTTTATGCAGAGAATATGGCTTCTCCCCTGTCCTCTTCTTTCTGCCACTCTAGCCCTTCTTCCTCACATGACAGGGGATAGTCGCCAAAACAACTTTAGCTTAATAAAACAGTTTTGGAGTAGAGAACATGCCCCTGCAGCCTCACTGCTCGATTATCTGCCATTTAGGAGTTAAATCACTTTGTTTATGAACCCTAGTCACACCTCCCTGCATGTGACTTGCACAGCCTTCCTTAACACTTCCTGTAAAGAGTCATCTAATGTTTATCCTTCCTTTATTGCAAGTTCTATTTAATTTTTATTTTCTTATCCCCTGCTATGTTAATAGCTTTATAGACCCTGCAAAAGCCTCTTGTATGTGATTAAAGTTCAATTTACAGAGCCAGAGATAAAATTGTTTAAGGTAAATTACATCTGATTAAAAGTGAAACCAGTTTTTTTCATGCAGGCTGTGTCAATCATAGCCAGGGGAAGTGTGGCAAGGGCTGCATAAACAGAAACAAAGTGATTTAACTCCTAAATGGCAGTGAATTGAGCAGTAAAACCTGAGAGGCATGATCAGGACCAGATTAAGAGCCACCGTTGGGCCTGGTGCTGACAGTTATGATGGGCCTAATTATAGAATCATATCTACAGAAAACACTAAAACAGTCATGCCTCCCAATCGTCATGTATCTGGAGATGGTGCTGGAAGCAAACTCACTGGATATAGCTATCAGAAAACACATACCATATGCTAATCTCTCGCATTCATCTTTCAAGTAAATCCATACCCCCTAACAGTGGTATCTGGTAAAGCAGGATTTCATTGGGCGGGGTAAAAGGGTGGGCACTGACATGAACTACGTAACTAAAACTGCCCAAAGGGGCAAACAGGACAAAAAAAATCTGCCAGAGGTCAGCCTGGCATGAATACATGTCAGCACAGGCTGTCTGCCAGACATGCAGAATGGAAACTAAAGGCATACTATATGCAGACAGCACCCTGAGCTTGACATAAATGCGTCTAATGATGCGCTCGCTCCACGCTTTCTAAGGACTGTCTCCTAGCACTCACTAGTCCACTCCTGTCCTTACCCTTACTAGCGGGCAGAAGCTTACACAGTCTGGGACAGAGAAAAGGTGTACGTAGTGAATTTTGAAGAAAGGGAACATGCCACAGAATTAGATTGAAGCAGCAAGAACATTTGCATAGTGCACAAAATCAGCTTTACCTTAACTCATTTCATTGTCAGCCATTCCACACAAGTTTTGAAGAGTAGTAAAAAAAAAAATTAGCAATGGGCCTATTGCATGGGCATGGGCCTGGAGTTGCAGCTCCATCAGCCCCTATGTTAATCTGGCCCTGGGCATGATCTATACACTAAAACTGTTTCATTAAGCTAAAGATTTTTTAGGTGACGATGTAGCATTCTGTTACACACCCTTTACTCAAACACCAATACTACACACAAATGTACATCTGCATTTAAAATCCAACACTACATCCAACCTTCAACTGAAGTTGAAATGAATTCACTACATTAAATTAAATAGTTAATTATTATGTATTATTATTATTTATAGAGCACCAACAAATTCCGGAGTGCTGTACAATGGGTGGACTAACAGACACGTATTTGTAACCAGACGAGTTGGACAAACAGGAACAGAGGGATTGAGGACCCTGCTCAATGAGTTTACATGCTAGAAGGAGTGGGGTATAGTGACACAAAAGGTAAGGATAGAGTAAAAAAAATAGGTTGCTAGGATAGTATTCACTGAGGGCTTAGTTTTTTGTTTTGATGACAGTTGCAAGAGAGGAGTCAGGGTGTGGGGAGGGAAAGCTGTTGACAGTTCAATTGATATGCTTTCCTGAAGAAGTAAGTTTTCAAAGAATTTTTGAAGGAGTGGAGACTGGGTGAAAGTCTGACAGATAGGGGAAGGGCTTTCCATAGGAATGGTGCAGCCATAGAGAAGTCTTTAAGGCGAGTATCAGAGGTAGGAGCACAAACAGAGGTTAGACATAGCTCTCGGCAGATAGTAGGGGTCTAGACTGGACATAGGATTTGGAGGTTGGAGCAGCATTGTGTAAAAATTTGTAAGCAAGTACCAGGATCTTAAATTGAGTCCTATATCTTACAGGAAGACAATGTAGGGACTGACAGAGGAAGTGTTGTGCCTAATCATTAAATTCATGTAGCGCCAATATCAAAAAGCAATAATCAATTATCCTAAGGTTTTTAAAGATATTGGTAGGCACCAAAACCCTATTCGGGATGAATGAATTGAGTATTTGAGAAAGGGAAAGACACTGACACCAAGTACTTGTAAATAATCAATACAAACTTTATTGACTAACAGAGACTTAATTAATAAGTAATAACATTTAATCTACAGTGCACATTCAGTTTAAGGGAACAGCTCAATTATCTAGATATTCAGCTTAAGTATACATCACCATAAGAGAAGCTTGTTGCACTCAACTGAGATAACTTCTGGCAGTTAGGCTTGAAGGGGACCCTCTCTTATTGGGAATCAGCAGAACCAGCAAAACGCGTCCGTATTACAGGTGGGTAGTTCTCCAAGCGAATGCCAAGTTTTCTCGTCTTTTATAAGTTTTTTTTACCAATGGGATGGATAGTCTGTACTTTTCCACCAAGTCTCCTTGCAAAGCGTTGGATGGGACCAGCAGCTGGCCAGGCTGTTCAGGACCACCAATAATGCCATGCCAGGTCTATGCGGTTAATTATCTGTTATGTAAAAGCTAGCTATGTACTAATAACTATCTTGTGATGGTATGCATGAGTC